TATATATATATATATATATATATATATATATATATATATATATGTGTGTGTGTGTGTGTGTGTGTGTGCTGAACAGCTGGATCTTGCTTGTTGTTACTGTGATATGTGATACTGTGTACTGAGAGTGTTGATAGTCTCTAGGGTTACTGATAACCCACCGGGTGTGCTGTTTGCCCGCAGAGACTGTTGATAGTCTCTAAGGTTGCTGATAACCCACCGGGCGTGCTATTTCCCCACTGGGACTGCTGATAGTCCCCGGGGTTGCTGATAACCATAGTTGTTTTTTTGTGCTATGTTGTGTGTGGTATTTTGGGGAAACTGACTAAGCTTTGTGCTTACGATTTGTGGTTTACATGTTTTAGGTTTTCTTATATTAAAGGAGGGGTACGACTCGATTGCATCGAATCAATAGGGGACTTATGCACATGATAACTTTTAATGATACTCTGATAAATGTTTTTAGGTTTGTAGTTGTGATTTAAATAAACACTTAAGGTTTTAATTGAAAATTTTCGGTTGAAATTTGGGGCGTTACAAATTAAAACAACCATAGAAGAGAAAACATAATAACCTTTGAAGACTTTGATCCTCATGGGAGGTTAGAAGTTTGATGAAGATGACATTAAGCTTTAAATTAAGAGCTCTCTATAAGTATCCACTAAGCAAGACAAAACCACCATATATGCTAGTATAACAATTAGAAAATATTTTTCTTAAGCTTTAAGACATATTCCAAAATATGCTTAAATATAAGCAACATTTAAGCACTTAATCTCTACATTATTTGCAAGAAGAAGATGAGAGGGAAGAGAGCTTTATGCTCTCGGATTTTTCTAGAGAAAAAGAGGGAAAAAGATGCAAGTGAAAGCTAGCTTAAAACTCTTGTCTCATACCACTCTGTTATACATGCAAGTGTATAGAAAAAGTTAAGACACAAAAGTAAAAGTAGAAGTCACTTTTTCTTACAATGCATGGAGAAATAATAAACAATTTAACACTCCAACTAGCCATGTCTTTAATCATATTAAACTAGGTTTGTAAGAAGCAAAGTACGTGTAATAAACAAATCATAAAGTGATCTTGTCTCTAAGACCTCAAAAATTCAGCCCTGCTTGACAAAATACAATATATGGAGTATATTACACATTTGTTCATGACTAAATGTTAAATTTATACATATACCAACTTTATATAAAATCCTATCATTTATAAAAAGTGATTTTAACACACACACACACACACACACACACACACACACATATATATATATATATATATATATATATATATATATATATATAGGCTTACGCTATTATATTCAAAGTAATTATTGTGTTATTGTATTCATAAATGTGGGCCAATCATTTTACTTATTTTAAGAAAGTGATTAATACATATTATTGAATTAAAAATAATCGAAAAATACCATCTAATTTAACTTGAAGGGTATTTTAGTCAATTAATATATATTTAATAAAGGAAATTTGCATATTTTAAGGGATCATAGATTCTATTAATTTTAAAAATCTGATTTTACGAATTATAAGATTTTTAATTCGGACATTCTCACAGAATATGTTTGAGTATGTTCAAAAATAAAAATATTTTAGAACCATAAAATAATAAAAATATTCTTGAACATATTTCTTGTAGAATAACAAATCCTCGAACCAGCAATTGAAGAATTAAAACAAAAATTATATTAATTCTTATAGAATACATGTAACAATTGCTAAGAATTACATTTATTGTTAAAGAATAAAACTAAAAAACTTTGAAATCGGGAAAAAAAATATCAAAATCTAACAAATACACTAATTCATTCTAAAAGAATAATGTTGCTAAGAGGCGTCGTTCAAATTTCGTGGTCTTTTCTTCAAGCATCAGCTTCTGTGGAAACAAATCCAATGAATAAATTATTGAGAAAATATCCATATTCCATTCCAACATAATTGGAATTCGTGATTCCATTATGATAGAATTGGAATTCATTTACCAAAAATTATATTAATTCAGGGCATTCTAACAGAATGTGTTCATGATTATCATAAAAAACATTCTTTTCTGATAGAATACTATAAACGAAGAAATACCATTCAGTTGAAGAATTTTAGCGAGCGCTTGGTGTGCATCAAAACAACTTTCAATTTTCTGTAAAAATTAGACAATCAGAACAAATTTCAAATTCACCAAAAATATTACACCTTGAAAGAATTAGACCGCTTCCTTCCAATTCGACAGCTGATGGATCCATCGATTATGGCTTTAATCGAATCCATTGGTACCTTCCTTCCATCGGAACATCTTTCACGATATCATAGTTGTACCTGATGAACAGTAAAAACAAAAATTAGTTGGAAATAATGATTGTACTCCAAATTCAACAATGTGCATGTGGAGGAATAGTGGAGGTTCACGTTAAGAGTGGTGTATGTGTATCATGAAAAAATCGCCATAGCTACTTACTTTTCTGTGAATCGTTTCTGTTCGTACTTTTCCGCTTCCGAGAAAAATTCTTTAAGCTCCGCCGGAGAAGGAGACTTTTCCGGTGGTGGTTTATGACTGGAAGTAGCTTCGTTTGCTGTTGAGGTCTTCTTCTTCTTCTTTGGAGTAGACGTGGATAACGACTCCATTTCTTCTGATTCTAATGAAACCACGCTTGATGCAGATGTCTCTCTACTGTAAAATAACAAACATAATGCAAAAATTTAGTGGTGTGGAGTTTTCTACAAATAGACAAATCTGAAACGATGGAACTGATAAAAATTGTTGAAACAGAATCATAATTGAGAGTGATTGATTGATTTGACCTGAAACCATCATTACTGGACATGAAGATTTCGGTTTAAGAAAGATATTCCACCTGTAAATGAACATTCAATCGAATTAATTAAGATCTACAACATGTAACGAACACAAATTCATTACTCGATAAAAAACAATCGATGTACTTACTAGAATTTTGATTTTCATACCTTTAGATATGGTCTCGAATCATCATTGATGGAGCAGATTAACGACGAAACATGATCAGAAACACCATATACCGCCGTCAAAACAACATTCTGAAAGAATTTGACGTCAATTTCACGTCGAGACTGAAACCGAAGTTGAAAAACATTCTCCTGATCTTGAGAATCCAATCTTCTTCGCTTACCGGTGCCGGAGCTTGTAACATCTGTATCTCTACTCCGCCGTGCATCTCCATGGGAATTTGGAATCTCCATTGCTGAAATCTCTTCAATGCTTTCACATCCGCTTGTACACATTTCCTCAATCATAATTCACACATACAAATTTCATTGGTACCTTTGGGGAGCCATTTCTCTGGATCGATCTGGTGTATCGGCAATAGACGGTGGTTTTAAAAAGCCGACGATGGATGGAGAAAACCTAGGTAGCTGAAGTCAATGGTTACCTTAATTACAGGATATTATTTGTGGAAACTAATTATCAAATTACCTATTTACCCTTATTTATTTATTTAATTATTTATT